GGAACGTCTCAGGTTACGTATGTAACCCTAGTTCCTCGAGGGAACGAGACGCTGCGTCTTGGTGCCATACTTCCGGCATCCCTGCCAGCGCTTGCTTCATTCCTGAAGCTGACGCCGGCTCCGCCGCACGTGCTTTTATAGCTTCCTGGTCATGATGTCACCCGCCCATGAAATCTCGCTCAGCTATTGGACTGATTTCACATGTGATTCAGAGCGTGGTCACAGAGGCGTCCCAAAGCGTTCTCCGACACAGCGTCTCGTTCCCTCGAGGAACCATGGTTACATACTGTACGTGACCTGAGACGTTTTCTGGCTGTTCAAAGATTTTTCTGAATTATGGAGTGACAAAAAGAGATACCCAAAATTCCCTCTGTAAAAACATTTGACTCTAATATGTCAAAAAAATTAAACAAGAATTTTGAAACTGACTTCATCCAGTGTTCAGATTTTTGTACTAGAAATGTATGCAAATCAGCGCATATTTCATTAAATAATGCATCATTTGCATATTTAAACATAACATTTTAGAAAACTTGTAATACAAAAAATGTTTGCAATTATCAATTTAATCAATCAACTGGGTGATAACTATTAGTTAATATTTTTACCCTATTCACCTGCAGTGTCTCGCCTTTAAACCAACCAGACCACCAAACCTGCCTTTAACCTGTATTCCACCTCAATAACAGCAAATGTTTCTTGCAATTCAACATGAGCACAATAGGTACGTTGCCCCTATTAATTCATTTTATTATTAAGTACATAGTATTTAAAGATACCTAATATAAAGTGGGACCAATTCATTAATTATTCTTTATGCTTCTTGATTCAAATTTTATTCTGTAAAAATACAGACCTGTTTTTGAATGGCTGTCAAGATGCCAGGGTTGCCAGGCCGGCAAAATAAAACCAGCCCAATTGCTAATCAAAACTAGTCCAAAACTAGCCCAATCGCATTTTCCCCCCATGGTTTTTCTCTGTTGAAACAGCATTCAAGAAAGCTCGCTTTAACCTGCCGACTAAAATACAACCTTTGGCAATGGTATAGAAGCAGTCAAATTCAACATTAAAACCACAGACTTGGCAACACTGCAAGATTCTTTGCTGCCAGATGTAGTTACAACATCTACCAGCAGGCGCTAGCGAGCTAGTCACGCTAACCAGTCAAATTTAACCAACCAGTTTAAACTGGCTCACAGAAAAGTTGCACTTCTACATATCAAAGTGGATATCCACGGCGTACAGTATATTGTGATATTGTGATGATTTGTTTTACATTGTTGTTGCATCAGTAACATTTTCACATACAGTAACAGATTCTCTGAGTGTCAACATGAAAGCTGTCATCATATTTATTGTTACGCTGATCAGTTTCTCAGGTAAGGCTCTGTATGCATTCATGCAAAGTAATTTAACCTCTATTTTCTGTTTTGTGAAATATGTGAATACTCTCTTCACAGGTTTTTCTCTTAGTAACAAAGTCAACCAGTCTCCACCTGACGTGATTGAGAGACAAGGAGAAACTGCAAAGATCCAGTGTTCACACAGTGTGTCCAGTTACAATCAAATCAACTGGTACAGACAAAACCAGGACCACGGGTTCACATTAATGGGATATTTACTTGGAAAAGATCCGTACAAAGAAAATGATTTCAAAGATAAAATAGAAATGTCTGGGGATGGAAATAGCAATGGATATTTGAACATTAAAAGTCTGTCATCTAATGACAATGCAGTGTATTTTTGCGCTGCATATTACACAGTGTTTTAGATCCCTGCTCTTCATTACAAAAACTGCTCTTTGATACTGCGGTTAACGGATGAAGGGTAGAAAAGTTTAATATTCACACCTGCTCCTGTGGTATTCATTTCAGACTCTGCTGGTTGTTATGAAAACAACAGTCAACTATTGTGCTCACGAGAGGGATCTGTCAGACGTAAGTCAAATACTGTCTGAAATGGTTTTATTGAATACTAACATTTATCAAGCATGCAGTGATCTCACTGAACAACTACATTCTGTAATAGACATTGCATTTTTTATGCAATAAAAGCACATATTTCATGACAAACTTAAGTAAAAGAGCTACTACTTACTGTAGTATGTACCTCATTGGTGCAATTACTATCAAGACCAGTAGGAGTCACCTTTCAACCTGATCTATGTAAAGACAGATTTACCAAAGAAGTGGGCCAGTCTTCATGTTTCTCAGACAGCAGTTCATTTGTTATAGGTGTCACTCTGAGAGCTCCAGCACTGAAGCATCAACATGACATTTACAGTGTGTTTGATTTATTTCACAGCACTGCTATTCTTGGTCTCAGGTACAAAATCACTTCTTTCTAAATGGTCATGATGCTTTAGTCTATGGCTTTAGTCACACTATTTTTAATGTGCTTTCCTTCTCTTTCAAACAGGGGAATCATTAAGTGACAAAGTTCATCAAACGCCAAAAGACAAGCTAGTTAAAGCTCAAGAACCTGTTAAACTCACCTGCTCTCACACAATACCAAACTATAACATGATATTATGGTATAAGCAAGTGACAGGGGATGCTGCTCTAAATCTTATTGGATACGTGCGTTACACAAATCCAGCCACAGAAAGTCCATACACAAATGAGTTCAATATTACTGGAGATGGTGCAAAATTCTCTGCTCTTGATTTTAAGCCGAATGCATCTGGGAGATCTGTTATGTATTACTGTGCTGCCAGTGAAGCACAGTGTTAGAGATAATTTCATCTGCCTACAAAAACCTGTTATTACCACAAACCAAAACTGTAGTAGGGCCTTTTATTAAACAATTTTACATAAGCTACATTCCATGGTGTAATTTTTTATTTATTTATTTTTTGACAAATGTCAGTGTTCTTCTTTCCTTCTTTTTGATATTTGCAGGTCACATTAAAAACAATATTGGGAACCTTTTAAAAAGCCTTCAGCATTTATTTCAGCATAAAATTTGTTATCATATGCAATGCTACAATTTAAAAATCCATCAGAAAAAAAGTGTATTTCGAATATGTTAAATGCTAGTTATGTGATGTGCATTAAGCAGCCTGGTCTTGTTTATACATAGGTATTAACCCATTTGTGCCCAAATTTTTCTGAATGCTTTTATGCATATACGTAGTCATGTTAATATTGTCCTATGTGAATATGTTCTGCATTTATTTTCCCCAGGTTTTTTTTTTCTTCTTGTAAATCGTATTTGAATGTGCGACAACTATAGTTGCCGGTGGGCAAATATGTTGTATGCACCCCTTCAATGTCAAATTTGAATAGGAGGAGAGCTTTTGGCATCTAACTTAAAATAACTGCTTTCAACAGATCAATCTTTATTCATAAACAAATTTATCATGCATTCGATGCAAACCCCCCAAAAGTTGCATCTATCTTATAATCTCTTGAATATGAAAACACAACAAAGTGCAGCCATTAAGTTGCCCCAACAGGGTACTGTGTATCAAAAAGTTAAATGAAAATAAATAAATAAAAATAAATAGAATGAAGAAAATATTGCATCTATATAATAAAAAAGGTATACCTGAAAGAAAATTACGCATTTAACTGTTTTGGTTACCAACAATCTGCAAAATATCTTCTTTTGTGCTCAACAGAAGAAAGAATCTCATAGGTTTGCAACTTGAGGGTGACACAATGTAACGTAAGGGACACTTTCCCTTACGTAAGCAGTTTTAGTAGAAGTAGCCTACAAGGAGTAGTTTTATAAATTTACATAAACATATTTTAATCTACAGCAATTAATCCCATGTGTTAGCTCTTTATCTTTCCTTTCTTCCTTTGTGTGTCTGACTGAAGTTTGTAAACTGCTGCTGTCACTTGAAAGCTGTAAATTCCCACCCCCCCATGGCAGTAGAGCTGTGGAAAGATTGCTCTCTCATCTCCTCCTTTTGACAGATTTATTCATCCCTATCAAATTAAGGTCTACTGTACAGTAGAGATGTCACTTAAAGGGTTACGTTATGTTTTAGGTGGGATATTATGAAAGCAAAAAGCAGAAAACAAGACCAATAACCTTTATTTATTAACCTATTAACACAGTATACTCCATTTCCCCATGATATTGATATGTCATATGATATATGATATGTACTTACAAGTCATTTGCCCACCGGCAACTATAGTTGCCACTTGGACTTTTGACTAAGTATACAAAACACTATAGATCTCCTGTAAGATTTGTTTTGTTTGGATGATTCTAGAGACCTTCATGATTATGTAGATGTATATATTTGTCAACAAAAAATACTTATTAGTAACATGAAAATTACATTTCTTTGGGAGGATTTGCCTTCGCCATGCTTCCTGGAAGTAGGGGAAGGAACTTGACAGCCTCATGTGACAGGAAGGAAGTGAATACCTTTTTTTTTTTTTCACCTGTGAAATCCTTTATTTGGTTGTTTGCTTGCATGTCATTGAGAAATAAAACATGGATAACATCTAGAAAAATACTTACAAAAGGAAAATGACAACTATAAACTGCGGGGCTTAAGTAACATTTACAAGCACAAAACGTACATTTTTGTACGTTTTTATTGATGCTAAAACGTACAATTTAGATGTATTTCAACATTTAAAACGTACAAATCGCTACGTATTTTTAGCTAAAAAAACATAAAATGTTTACGTATCTTTTATACCATTAAGATATCCGTATGAATGTTTTTATAATTTTATCAATAAGCGATTTAGATTTTTAGACCCCTTAACCTACCCTAAACCTAAACCTACCCATTTTATAGCGAATATGCATTTTTATCATTTTATCAATAAGCGATTTAGATTTTTAGACCCCTTAACCTTCC